ATAGTATATTATATATAAATATGTATACATATATAATTCTATGAACATGAATTGTGGCAAAAGCATATCAAGAGTCCATGCAGATGTTAACATTTCTATTTTCAGACCAATTGAAGGCCTGTATGAGGGTTCATATTTCAGTTCACTATGTAGACCATCCTTTCAGGAGAACTTCAATCAAAATAACTTCATCCAAAATGATCACAGCATATCCAGCTTGTTGCACTCCATTCCTAACAGAGCTACATCCATCAGTAAACAGCATGTACTCATCGTGTTAGGGGGTCCATCTTTATTTCTGGTCAACTCAAAAACAGCTCATTGGTTAGTGCCAAGCAGTCATGATCTAGAGGTCCCAGCTCAGTGGGCAGGCACATGGAAGGACTGAGTGGTTTTAGCACCACAGAAGTCAGGCAAGGATTTTCACATAAGAGTTCTTGGTACTGAGTGACTTGGCTGTTGCAGAGCCAGCGATGTCCGTGTTTATTCAGGAGGTCCAGTACAGCACATGGCACTTGGATGGTTAGGTAAGGGCCTAAAGTGAGCTTATCAATTTCCTTGATCAGAAGGACAGTCACTGCCAGAGAGCAGAGGCAAGGGGGCCAGTACTTAGAGGCTGGATCTAAGCATTTGGAGTGGTGGGTTGCTGGGTACTTCCAAGGGCCAACTGTTTGAGTAAGCACCCCTGATGGCACATGTTGTTGTTTATCAAGAAACAGATTGAATGGATGACTTACATCTAGAATTCCCAAAGCTGCAGTTGTAGAAATAGCCTTTTTAATGTCATTGTGGACTGCTTTTGTTCTGTGTTCCAGTTGAAGGTGACAGAGTCTTTAGCAGACCAGGTATTATACAGAGGCCTTGCTTTTTCTGTGAACCCAGGAATCCAGATTCTACAGAAGCCAGATGCTCCACGGATTTTTCAGAGTTTCTTTCCCATGGTTGGAACCAGGATGGAGCAGATGATCTCTTTTCTTTTCTGCCAAGGATGAGGTGTCAATGTTTTAAGTCAAATCTCAGGTATCTGACATTTTGTTTACAGATTTGTGTCTTTTTCCAAGATACCTCATAGCCAGTTTCTGTCAGATGTTGCAGCGGAGCTTTTGTGCCTTCCTAGCAGGCAGCTTGGGTATCATTCTCCAGATGATCATCAATGTATTGGAGGAGGATGCAATGTTATTTTGTGCTGGGGTAACTAGTGAAGTCAGAGGTGAGGACTCCTCCAAAAAGGATAGGTGAATGTTTAAATCTCTGGGGCCAGGTTCCTTGATTTTTGAGACCAGAACCGACTTTTGAGTCTTTCCATTCAAAGGTGAAGAGGGACTTCCTGACAGATGCCAATAGAAGGAAGAAGAAGGCGTCTTTTAAATCCAGGCAGGTGCACCAGCAAGCTGTGGATGGCAAAAGACTGAGGAGAGTATAATAGTTTGGGACTGCAGGATGGAGGACAACCACCTTGGTATGGATGACTCAGAGATCCTGAACTGGATGATATGCTCCACTGGGTTTCTTTACAGGCAAGAGAGGTGATGTTTCTCTTTTATAAGTCTTGAAAAATCATCTCACTTCTAAAAACAAATACATATAGTATTATGACAAGATAATACTATATCTCAACAAAACCAACAAGTCTCTAATCTTTTAGGGTGGCTTTTCTCCACCACAAAATGTTTAGAATGGAGAATATTTTTCCTAAATTTTGTCCATGTGGAACTCATTTTAATAATGGTAGGTATTAGATATATTTTATTTTGTTTTTTAATGGACATATAATTGACTTCCCACCATTTATTATTGTTTGCCAAGGTATTTTGTTTGTTTTTGCGGTGCTGGGGAGCAAACCAGAGCCTCACCCATGCTAGGGAAGTATTCTACCACTGAGCAACACCCCTAGTCCACCAAATTATTTGAAATGGCATTTATATCTCACAGATTCCCACCAGGGAACTGTTCTGTTGATGGAGCTGATCCTTTGTGGTTACAAAAAGGAAAGGTGATAACAGTGGGAGTGAAGGTACATTGAGGGCTTTGAGAGAGGCCGGAGGATCAACTATGGGGTGATGGATGAGCAGGCATTCAGTGAGAGAGACGACGAGGAGTCATCTCAGAAGATGTAAAAATCCCAGATGGGGACAGCCTTCTATGTGTTTTTAGGCTCTCTGTTCTACTCTAGCTGACACTGTTAGAATCGGTATATTTCATTAGTGTCTTACTGTAGTTAGTAGCAACACATAGAGAGTATTGTCTCATGGAAGGTGTGAGTATCCAGAGTTAGCTAGCTTCTCTAAAAATCTATTACAATTAATCCTTTTAAACATACTCAAAAAATAATAATAAATCAACTTGAGCTAAATGTGGTACTCCGCACCTCCATACCAGTACTTGCTAGTCTGGTGCAGCAGCATGGAACTATGAGGCTAGTCTGGACTGCTTGATGACACACCCTGTCTCAAAAGAAAGAAAAAGTAGTTCCTTGCGTTAAAGTCTTTGCCTTGGGAAAATTTGCATTTGCTAGCACAAGGCGGGGAATTGTTACGCCCCGCCTCCGCGGAGGCCCCGCCCTCCGGCGCACGCCACGGCCTCCGTCATCGCGCGGCGTCAGGGCTGTGTAGCTAGGACTGGCGGGCAACCGTCGAGTTTTGCAGTTGTCCTCCGGCGCGCGCTCTGCGTGTGGAATTAGGCTCACAGCCTGGAGACGACGGAAGCCTAAGGAAAGGGACTGCCGAGCCCGAAGGCCAATCCCTGATTGAACGCGGCTTCAGTCCTCCCGGGCACGCGGCTCTTGCGGCCCCGCCTCCCAGCCTGCTTTGTTGCTAGGCAACCGCGGGCTACCTGGCGCTCGGAGTTGCAAGGACCTAGGGTCTGTGAGTGCGGATGGACCAGTACTGCATCCTGGGCCGCATAGGGGAGGGCGCCCACGGCATCGTCTTCAAGGCTAAGCATGTGGAGGTGAGGCTGGGCCGCATAGGCCGCCTAGGGAGCAGGCTGACCTCCGCCCCACGCCCCATGCAGCCGCCACGCGGGACAGCTTTCTGACCTCCTTTCTGATCTCCTTAGTCACGGCTACCATCCCATCCCTTAGCAGAGCCAGACCCGCTCCACTGCCGCTCTGTGGGATTGCTCCCTTGCCACGGGGCCTTTCTCGCTGTTCTCCAACAGCCCCCCCTTCCCGGCAGGGGGCGGGGGCGGGTAGTCTGCAGTAGACAGTCTTGAGTTCTTTCTTGCACAGACTGGTGAGATCGTTGCCCTCAAGAAGGTGGCTCTGCGGCGATTGGAGGACGGCATCCCCAACCAGGCCCTTCGGGAAATCAAGGCTCTGCAGGAAATTGAGGACAGTCAGTATGTGAGTGGAGTCCGGGCTGGGCTGGGCTGGGCTGGGTGAGGGGGAGAGCAGGTCCGAGGCATCACCTCCAGCTTCCTTCACCTGTTCTCACCTTCTTTTGCATTCATTCACCGAGTTGTTTGCGAACTCCTTTCAGGGATTTCCTGCCTCACCCATTGCTCATTCATGTGACTCCTGAAACTTCATTTTCATCTCTCTTTTGCCTGCTTGTGCCTCATTCACCTAATTACATCATTCCTCAATCACTCATTTCTTCATGTACTCGTTCATGCATTCATTATTCAAAAACTTACAATTTTTTAATTAAAACATTTAGTTTCTCTTTTTAATTTTTTCCTGCTGGGGATGGAACCCAGGGCCTAGTGCATGCTAGGCAAGCATTCTACCACTGAGTTATACCCCTAGCTCAGGTATATTTTGAGCTTTTCATGTGCTCTGCAGAAGCCCTAGTAAATGTTTTATATACGTTGTCATCTTGAGTCTCCTTTAATACTTTCCAAGGTAGGTTTTGAGATCTTTGTTTCTCTGGCTAGAGGAAGAGGTTCTGACCCAGAAGGTAGCTGTTGAGGTGAGTCTGGTACCTGACAGGTCGTCTGCCCACAGGTGGTGCAGCTGAAGGCTGTGTTCCCACATGGCATGGGTTTTGTGCTGGCCTTCGAGTTCATGCTGTCGGACCTGGCTGAGGTGGTGCGCCATGCCCAGAGACCGCTGGCTCCAGCACAAGTCAAGAGCTACCTGCAGATGCTGCTCAAGGGCGTGGCCTTCTGCCATGCCAACAACATCGTGCATCGGGTCAGTCCTCACAAGGACCATGTGGGCCAGCCCTTGAAGGTGCAGTCAGAGGCATCAGGGCCTTCAGGAGAGCAACCAGACAGCCAAGGGAGACAGAACCTGTGCTCACTCGGGCCAGTCAGCCTGCCAGTCCCTTATATCCCAAAGTCCTGAGGGGACTGCCGGGGGACTGATGCTGCCTTTCATCTCCCAGGACCTAAAGCCTGCCAACCTGCTCATTAGTGCATCAGGCCAGCTCAAAATTGCTGACTTCGGCCTAGCCCGGATCTTTTCTCCAGATGGCAACCGCCTCTATACACACCAGGTGGCCACCAGGTAAGGAGGGCTGGATTCCCACCAGCCCCATTACTGAGGAAAAGATATTTCTAGACCTTCTGTCCAGACATGGCATATGGGGTTGAGGTGGTACTGAGGTGAACTTCTGGCTTTGATCCTTAACTATCGTGCCTCCCCAGGTGGTACCGAGCCCCAGAGCTACTCTATGGTGCCCGCCAGTATGACCAAGGTGTGGACCTATGGTGAGTCTCCTAGGGGAAGGCAAGGATGATGGGTTGTGGGGAAGCGGGGGAATTCTCCCTGGTGGAGTTGATGTTCTTCACTGTGTTTTTGTGCTGGGTGAAGGGTAGAAGCAAAGAGATTGTCCCAGTGCAAAGCTTCGTGGCCAGTAGGAGAGGTGGCCCAAAGTTCAGAGTGTAGAATGTTCAAGCTGGCATGTCCTCAGATCCCAGGAGGAATATCTCTGAGCCAATCAGAGTATCATGTTCTTGTGTATGAAGGCTCTGAACCTTTTTGGGGGGAACAGATGGTTTCTTTATACCTAAAGGTTTGAGATTTGGGACTCTTTAGTTCTTCCCCAGGAATTGAAAGGCAAGCTTTGCATCCTACAGCAAGGAGGCTCTGAGAAGTCTTGGGGCTGTTGGAGATTTTCTTTGTGTTCTTAGGCTGAGGACTTTGGGGTCTGGAACACCAGGCTTGAATGAAGCTCAAAACTGGTTGAGGGGTTGGAGCTGCTGTGGGCTAGGCTGTTCTGTGTGTGAGATCCTAGACCACCAGAGTTCTATATCCACAGGGCTGTGGGCTGCATCATGGGGGAGCTGTTGAATGGATCCCCACTTTTCCCTGGTGAGAACGACATTGAACAGCTTTGCTGTGTGCTGCGTATCTTAGGCACCCCCAGCCCTCAAATCTGGCCGGTTTGTAAGGGGCCCTTGGTGGGAAGGGTACAGGGAGGAAGGTGGGCTCTATTTTTTAATTTTTTTCTGAAGCTTTTTTTTTTTTTTTTTTTTTTTTTTTTGTGGCCTGAAGATTCCTTGAGGGCATTTCTGGTTTCCTGTGAGAAACGGGGTTCGAACCAGATTGTTTTGTTTAGCAGGCACTTAAACAACTGAGCTAATGGGCAGGCCCATGGGCTCTATTTCCTAGCAGAAAGTGACTGCTTCCTCCTCTCCATCTTATTTTATGGTCCAGGCCCCCCTAGACCAACAAAAACCACCATCCTGGTCAAGCCCTGGTCCTTCTTTCCTTCCCTACTGGAGGCAAGAGGTCCTGTTCTCTGCCTATCCCTATCCCAGCACATGGATATGTAGTTTTAGCAAGCTGGGCATGGAGCTAACCCTAGAAAGGGTGCAGTGGTGGAGGGATGAGGGAAAACAGTGAGTTGAGTGGAGCAGCAGGGCAGCTCCATTGAGGGCACTGCCCACTCTCCTCTGCCTTACTCCTCTTCCTGCTGCAGGAGATCACAGAGCTGCCAGATTACAACAAGATCTCCTTCAAGGAGCAGGCACCAGTGCCCCTGGAGGAAGTGCTACCTGATGCCTCTTCGCAGGCTTTGGATCTGCTGGGTCGTTTCCTCCTCTACCCTCCTGGCCAACGCATCGCAGCATCCCAGGTAGGGTGAGAGGCCAGGGGTGCTATCTCTTTAGCACTCTGCCTCCACTGAATGGTGGTAGCCCCCAGAAGGAAAGTAGGGCCCCATACAATGTTTTTAGTGCAGGTGTTCGAAAAGCTATTTGCTGAGGAGCAATGGTGAGTAGTGTGGCCTGGAAGAGATGGTCCAGGCAGGCTGGATGTCCCTGGAAGGCAGGGAAGGGCAGGGAAGACCGCAGGAGTAAAGCCTTGAGCTCATGGGAACCTTTCTCTGTAGTGTAACAGACACCCATTCTCATCTGCACTTGACACTGGGCAGCCAGTGCATGCAAATGCCCTTGGTTCTGGTGTCAGCAGTTCCCATGAGCTGTGGCAACTCCTTCTCCTGCATTACCTCCCAGAACCTGTATCTTGTCTCATCCCACATCATCTCTCCCACATGCAGAGAGTGACTTAGTTCTATAGAGCAGGTCATGCCCTCAGTAACAAGTGCTGCAGGCCTGGGCACTTCATCTCTTGATCCTGTATGCTGTTGTCCCTGTTCACGCCCCTCTAGCCCCAGGCCTTTCCTGGGGCTGTGGATTTCTGTTCCCTGTGTTGAGTGCTGTTCCCCAGGTTGCCTCCTACCACCTCACTCACCCCTCTGCAAGTCTACTGTCTCTCACCATTGTTCCGTTTTCTGCTCTGACTGTCTTGTCCAGCACTGATCATTACAGGGCATACTGTGGATCATGCCCCTTTATCTGACTTATTAGTCCCACCCCACCTCTTTTGGTCTGTTGTGTTCGCCTCTGTGTCCTTAGCCTTTGGAACAGCACTCTAGATGTGTGAGCACCCAGGAAGGGTTTTCCAAGAGGGCTGAGTACATGAGTAGGCCCCTCTCCCTCTGCCTGAGGCTGGGGACAGGACACTGACTGCTACCCTGTTTGTCACCCCAGGCCCTCTTGCATCAGTACTTCTTCACTGCTCCCTTGCCTGCCCATCCATCAGAGCTGCCAGTTCCCCAGCGCCCAGGTGGGCCCATCCCCAAGGCACACCCAGGGCCCCCCCATATCCATGACTTCCACGTGGACCGGCCTCTGGAGGAGTCGCTGTTAAACCCAGAGCTGATTCGACCCTTCATCCCGGAGGGGTGAGGCGCTGGCCGCAATCCTGCCTGACTGCCCCCAGGTGCATCTTCTACTTCCTCCCTGACTCTCACCTCCAGTGCCTGCCTGTGGCCACACAGACACACTACATGCCTTGCCCTGTTCCTTCACCCCCTGAAGGCTAGTCTCAAGGAAGCAAAGGGTGCAGCCTGGCAGTCAGTTTGGATGGCCAGCCCAGCGGAGGAGACCCACAGCCTGCAGATTGAGCCTTCAGAAGCAGGGAGCTGTGCTGCCAGCCAGGGGCCATCATGAAGTGGTGTGTTGTCTCCTGCCCCTACTCAGGACACTGTCTCCTGCTCCAGGATAGTTGCAAAACATTTGGGGGAGTGGAGAGAGGAGAATGTCTTCATGTTGAAAACTGCCATGGGGAAGCAAGTTTGGTTTGGTTTGCTGTCAGACAGTGAGCCTTCTGGTTCCCTATTTGAGGTAGGTTGATATAAAAGTCTCAAGTTGCCCTGTGTGCAATCTGCTTCTTTTCTGTTCCTAAAAGGGAAATGGGGAGGTGGCATTGTCTCATGCCCTGGGCGACAGTCATAGCCACTTTGTTCTGAGGACATCTTGTGTCCTTTGCATGACTGACTGCTCACTGGGAAGGGAGGCAGACAGGGATGGGCAGGCTGGAGACTCAGATCAGCTAGCAGCATCCACTGTGCAGATGAAAGCGACCCAGAAGCAGCCATGCAGATAAGGAAACTGATCTGTCTGTAATTCATGTACGCTGTAAGTACCAATCTAACCCAGCTGACACGTTTATTCTCACTTCATAATAAATAACTAAACCTCAAAATTAAAACATAAAAAGGGGCTAGGAATATATCCCCATGCAGAGACCTTGGGTTCACTCTCCAGTACCTTCCTTAAAAAAAAAAAAAGAGATGACTGATAGAAACCTGATTTTGTGCTTATCAACTGATGCCTTAAAGTATTCCTACAAACCTTTTCTAGCAGTGTACATTGTACAACAATAACGAGGGACATGAGGAGATAAGGATGTAAATAAGGAGCACAAAGAACAGGACTGTAGCTTTTCCACATAGTTGGCTCACCAGACTATAGAAGAGTTATACTCTATACCCAGGATGCTTGCTTGCTTGCTTTCTTTTTTTGTATTTACTACAGGGCCTACAGGGTCTCACTGCACAGATTGGACTCATCATGATTCTCCTGTTTTCAGCCTCCCAAGAGCTGGGATAACAGGCACAAGCCACCACACTCAGTCTCAGTTGGCATCTCAGCATGCCCTGGAGGTGGGGCCGGCATGGCATGCTGGGATCAAACCTGGTCCCTGCATCTGCCTAAGCAGGTGTTTTAATCTGCTGAGCTATCTGGCCGGCCCCCAGGATGCTTTCTAAGATAGAAGATAGCCAGTTTCTCCAACAAGGTGAACAGATTGACTAATGGTTGTATATTGCAAAAGATAAATGTAGAGTTCAGAGGGTATTGCAATAAGGAACAGCACTCTGGCCTCAGGATATACAACCATCTCAAAATCAAATGGAAAAGGGTATTGCTTTCAGAGGGAGAGGCAAGCAGAAAGGACAGGAGAGGACAGCAAGCAGCTGGATGAGCAGACAGCATAATCATAGTGGACTTAGGGGAATGTTTGTTTGGTCTCTAGATTCTTGGAATGAGGCCCTAAGAGAGAAGGTCTGCATCTCAGTGCTTGTCTGAGCTTAAGCATGGGCCACATGTCAGGCACCTGCAACAGGGAGAGAAGGCTGACTAGAGTTTAGTCAAGTCCAGTCGGCAAGTAAATACAGGCAATGAGGCAGTTGGGAACACTTGACCAGTGTAGCAGACAAAATCAAATAATTCAGGATACATAGATTTCTCAGACATATAGAACAGTACATTGACCACATACTGACCATAATAACTGTCAACGAATTCCAAAGAATTGAAATTATACAAGTAAATATACAATTTTTTACTATGATGTAATTAAACTGGAAAGTAAGAAAATCTATGTATTCTTGAAAACTAAGAAATACACCTAATAGAAAATTAAGACTAGAACTAGTGAGTGCATGCCTGTAAACCTGACAGTCCTTGCTGTAATCTCAGCAATCAGAAGGCTGAGGCAGGAGAATCACCATGAGTTTGAAGCCAGGTTGGGCAAATATAATGAGCTGAAGGCCAGCCTGAATCACATAGGTAGACCCTGTCTCAAACAACAAAAAGAGACGATGTGGTAGTGCGCACCTGTAATCCCAGTTCTTGGGAGACTAAACAAGCAGAACACTACAAGTCTGATCTAGTAGTGAGACCCTTAACACCCTGTAGACCTTTCCCTAAAAATACAAAAAAAGGAAAGAAACAATGGGAAGTAGAAAGTACTGTGAATTGACACTAATGATATATAGCAGTGTTTGTGCTGTAGCTACAGCAGTACTTAGAGGTTAATTGATAATTTTTTTTTTGTTAAATGTATTTTATTTATTTATTTATTTATTTATTTATTTAGTGTGTGTGGCCAGCTCAGCCCACCAGGGGGCGGGGCTGGCTGGCATGTGGTGCAGGGGGATCGAACCGCAGTCCCTGTGCTTTGCTTAGCTTAGCTTGTTCTAAATAGGTGCTTTAGACCACTGAGCCATCTCACCAGCCCCTAATTGATAATTTTTTAGTGTAGGCATGGTAGTATACACCTGTAGTTGCAGCCACTTGGAAAAGAGCAGGATTGCTTGAATATGGGTCAAAGCCAGCTGAGCAACAGCAATTCTCTCTCAAAAAAAATGAATATTTTAAAAGAGAAAAGATCAGATAGAGAAGAAAGGAAAATACACAGACCATATTGTAACAAAAAACAGAAAAAAAAAAGTGGAAAGCTAGTTCATCAACATAATTTTGGGGGCCAGGGAGATAGCTCAGTGGAGTAAAGCGCCTGCTTAGGCAAGCTCAGGGACCATGGTTTGATCCCTGGTACCACATGCCACATCAACTCTACCCCTTGGGTGGGCTGAGCTGGCCATAGTCTGGGCGTAGTGGCGCACACGTGTAATCCCAGCACTGGGGAGGCTGAAAGCAGGAGGATCACCATGGGTCTGAGCTGCATAGTGAGACCCTGCAACAACCAAATACATTTAGAAAAAAAAGAAAATGTCAAAAATGGGCCATCCCATAGTGACAAGGACTAGGAAGTGAAGAAGAAAAAATAGCTCAAACAAGCTCCTGGGCAGTGACTTTGCTAAGACAAAAGGAAAAACAACAACAACAACAAAAAAAAAAAAACTGGCTCCTTTAAGCCCAGCCTCACATGGGAAAGCCTGGCAGCCAATTACTGCAAGTGATTCACACAGCCAGGCCCTGGGGCCACTGCTTTTCTCAACCCTCCTGACTTAAGTCACTACCTGCAGCATAAAAGCAAATGGCTACCTCTAGCAGGAGACCAGATTTCTGCAGAGCCTCCACAGAGGAGCCAAAGGTGCCTCCTGCCTCTAGGCTGGACAGCCACAAGACCCAAGGTTTGGCTTGGCAGAGGCCATCCAAGCCTGCCCAGCCCAGTGGCTGCATGCATGGGGTCTGATTGGCTCCCTATAGGAACAGCTGTATTCAGACTCCAGCAGAGCTACACAGCGCTGCTTCCAGGAAGACCCAGAGGCTTTTCTCGTGTCCCATCTCTGCCTCCAGAGGCAGCTGAAAAAGTGGGCACCTCACCCAGCAGAACCACATCCTCAGGGATCTTTGCCAGAAACTGTATCTGATAGAGGCTGACACCAGCCACAGGGATTGATGCCTGGTTTCAAGTGGGAACACTGCACTACTTTGGCTCACCTTTCTTAACCTGGGGGTCACTGTGTAACTTGGTCCCCAGCTGCCCCTAGAAGATGAGTGTGTGTGGCTGTGTTTTTCTTTCACTGATGAGAACCAATTCCAGGGACTTCCTGGAGGAGGCAAATCAAGTGCTAGCACCTGGGATTCGGCTGAAAGCAGCTGAGGTCAATAGCCCTTTTGAGAATGTTCACAATTTTGTGGCGGTGGTCAAGCTCAGCTTCAAGGTCATCTGTCACGGGGACATGGTACCATCTGAGAATCATAGATAACCTTAGGTTTTATGAAACCTTAAGTCTGGATTTGGCTTTTCTGTCTGCTCTCCTCTCTCCTGATCACCATAGCTTCTGCTCCTTCAGTTTCCATTGCCTGGGCTTTTAAGACTTTAGACATGGAAAGAAATAAAAATGAAGACAGGCAACTCTTGCTACAGCTGGGAGTCATTATCTGAGTATCATATTCCCCATTTCGAAAACAATGCAACTTTTGTTTCATGGCACTTTTATATGTGTTATCTAAGGAAATCTGTAACCTGGCTAGGAATGTAGGAGGTGCTTGGTAAACTACTTGTGGGTATTAAGAAAAAACTAAAAACATCAAAACATTATGAACTGTACACTGATAAAATTAACACATTAGAAGAATGGACCAAGAAAAAAAAGAAAAATGGGCCAAATCCTTGGAAGACCAAAATGACCAACCAGGTTTGGTGGTGCTATAATCCCAGCTTTTAGAAGGCTAAGGCAGAAGGATTGGTAGGGGTTTGAGGCCAGCCTGGGCTACATAATGAGACCCTGTCCCAAAAAAGATGTCACTTAAGAAATACATAACCTGGGGCCGGGGAGTTAGCTCAGTAGAATAAATGCTTGCCTGGCAAGCGCAAGGGCCTGAGTTCAATCCCCAGTTCCACAAAAAAAAAAAAAGAAATACATAGCCTAAGTTGTCCTTGTAGCCACTAAAGAAATGGAGGGGACTTGCCCAATAGCTCAGTTTGAAGCTCCACTTGGGTAAATGCAGTCAGTTCCATAGGACCAAGGTTTGATCCCCAGCTCCACAAGCCGCACCAGACCCTGAAATAGCAAAAATTTCCCCACATTCCGCTGCTTCTGGTACATAGGTTGCTATGTCTGAGGTCTCTGTGAGCCAAACACATTGTACAGCCCTGACCCCCGCAAGTGGAGCAGGCTCCCATCTGGCCTCTGAAGCCACAGTGAAGTGGGGTCAGTAAAGAAAAAAATGAAAACAAACATTCTACGAAGAGAACTACATAATATATTAACAAAAAACATTAAAAATGTATTTCTTGGTTGGGCATTGGTGTTGCATGCCTATAATCCCAGCACTCTGGGAAGCTGGGGCAGGAGGATTACAAATTCAGAGGCCAACCTGGGCAATTTGGCAAATTTAACTAGACAAAAACAAAACAAAAAACGGGCTGGAGAGATAGCTCAGTAGAATAAGTGCTTGCCTGGCAAGCACAAGGGCATGAATTCAATCCCCAGTTCTGCAAAAAAAGTTGAGAATGTGAATGTGGCTCAGTATAAATGATTTAGATGAGTTCCCAGTAATGAAAAAAACAAAAACAACTTGTCTGGATCTTCAAACTGAATGCTACTCTGAACTTCACTCTTGATTCTGATGCTGACATGCTTTTTTTTTTTTTTTTTTTAATACTGTTGTGC